CTCGGCTGAATTATCGAGCAACGCGGATGATGATGGTGACATTGTCGATGATGATGAGGGGGATGATGATGAGTGGTTATGTTTACGTTTATAATGCTGAATGGTGGTTATTGCTTCTGGGTTGTGGGCATGATCGCGGTTATTGTTCATACTGATTATGGAGACGATTCTGACGATGTGGATACTGATGCTGCTGATGCTGCTGATGATGCTGATGATGATTAGGATGATGATGCTGATGCAGATGATGTTGCTGATGATGATGATGATGCTACTGATGATGATGATGATGATGATGATGATGCTGATGATACCGATGATGTGATGATCATGGTGATGATAATGGCGATGCTTGTGGTTGTGATGATAATGACGGTGGATGATGACGATCATGCTGATTATGATGCTGATGCTGATGATGCTGCTGATGATGCTGATGTTGATGATGATGATGTTGATGTTGATGATGATGATGATGATGCTGATGATGATGATGCTACTGATGATGATGTTGATGATGCGGATGATGTCGATAATGATGATGATGATGCTCATGGTGCTGGTGATGGTGATGCTGGTGGTTGTGATGATGACGCCGCTGGTGGAGCTGCTGCTGATGATGATGATGATGATGACGATCATTACGATGATGCTGATGACGCTCCTGCTTCTGATGATTATGTCGGTGGTGATGATGATCATACTGTCACTGGCAATGACCATGGTACTGAGGGTGATGATGCTGATGATGATGATGATGGTGCTGCTGCTGCTGACGATGATGATACCGAAGGCGATGGTGCTGATGCTGATGATGATGGTTATGAGAAGGATGATGCTGATGCTGCTGCTGATGATGCTGCTGATGATGATGATGGTAATGGTGACGACGATGCTGATGTTGCTGATGGTGAAGACGATGATGATGATGATGATGATGATGGTGATGATGATGACGATGATTATGATGATGGTCGATGTCGATGATGATTGTGATGATGATGATTCTGATGTCAAGACTGATGTCGATGATGATGCTGCTGATGCTAATCATATGGATCATTATGCTGATGATGCTGGTGATGCTGTTGATTTTGATGATTACGATGATGATGATGATGATGATGATGATGATGATGCGGATGCTGGTGATGCTGATTCTGATGATGTTGCTGCTGAACATGGTGCTGGTGATGCTGATGGTGATGGTGCTGATGCTGATGATGCTGATGCTGTTGATGCTTTTGATGATGACTATGAGGATGATGCCCTTCGTGATGATGATGATGGGTGATGACGATGCTGATGCTGATGATGATGATGATGCTGATGTTGATGATCATGATCATGATGATGATGATGCTGTTGATGTTGATGCTGATGATGATGATGATGATGATGATGATGATGGTGGTGATGATGATGATGATGATGATGATGATGATGATGATGATGATGATGATGATGATGATGATGATGATGATGATGATGATGGATGATGTGATGGTGGTGGTGCTTATTGTTGGTACTGATGATGGTGGTGGTGATGTATGAGGCGTGGGACAACATGGTGAAAACGTGTAGGAGCAGCCTCCACTGGCTGGCACATTCAGCGACCGCGCAATACACGCGAGTAATTCCCAACCATCTTTTGGTATGGGGTCTTTTTCGTGAATCAGCAGCCGGCGGTCCGCGTTCCTCACTTCACCTCCTCCAACTCCCCGCCCTCCCTCGCCCCATCCTTGCCTCTGCCCTCCGCATGTCCCTTTCGGCACACCCGTTGCACGTTTCGTGGCTCCATGGGGAACTCCGCCGAAGCGGTTCGCGGCAGGGTCCGCATGGCAGCCCCGCACCCATTTCGACACACCCCTCACGCGTGCCGGGACCCCACACTGAAGCTCCACCGAAGGCCTCAGTGGCAGGGTCCGCATGGCGCCCCCGCGCCCATTTGGAAAAACCCGTCGCACGTTTTGTGGCCAACTGGAGGCCCCAGCGGCAGGGTCCGCATGGCGGCCCCGCACCTATTTTGGCACACCCCGGCCCGCTGGGGAGCTCCACCGAAGGCTCCAGCGGCAGGGTCAGCATGGCTGCCCCGCACCCAGTTCGGCAAACCCTTCACACGTTTCACTGCCCCATGGAGAGCTCCAACGATGGCCCCAGCGGCAGGGTCCGCATGGCGGCTTCGCACCCACTTCGGCACACCCCTCACACGTTTCGTGGCCCAACGAGGAATTCCGCAGAATGCCCCAGCGGCAGAGTCCGCATGGTGGCCCCGCACCCATTTCGGCACACCCCTCATTCGTTTCGTGGCCCCATAAGGGTTTGCCCCTCCTTCGCCCCATCTGCCTTGCGGCACTCGAACCCTCACATGTCTGGGTCTTTCGCCCGTATTTCTGTTGTCCAGAACACGAGCTCCCCGCTACATGCCCAAAGCGCAGATGACACCGACGAGGAGAAGTGCGAGGAGGAGGAGGAGGACCAGTGTAAACCCAAGAGTCATCAACGATGGTGGAATACACCCTTCCCCCAAGCTCCCTCTTCATGGGCCCCTACAAGAGTTCATGTCCATTAAAGGAACTGCCTCTTAAGAAAACCGTTTGAATACCCTGAAGCATGCCATAACATTCTTCTCTGGATTCCAACGCCACGGATCAACCTGACTGTTGCGTCTTGACGATCCTGAGTCGCGCCAGAGCACCATTCCTGGGACGTCAACACAGCGAATCAACATACCTGTTGCACCCGCATCGTACATAGTCCTGAGTCTTTTCCAATCACCATTTCTGGCGCGTTGATGACGGGAATCCGTGGAATTCTTGCAAATTCGTAAAACGAGTGTGCGCCGCGCTCAGGCGAGAGGCACATTTCGAAAAGGAACCGCCCTCAATCCGTGAAACTCCGGCAAATGTTTACAACGAATGTGCGACGCGTTAAGGCGAGAGCCACATTTTGAAAACCATCCGCATTCAATCCGTGAAACCTGTGCAAATTCTTAAACGAATGTGCGCGGCGCTAAGGCGAGAGCCACATTTTGAAAACCACCCGCCCTCCATCTGTGAAGCCGTTGCCAATTTCCCAGCTTCAGAATCAATTGTCAGGAAATGTCAGGCGAAACGCCCAGCCCGCCCTAAAAACTGACCTCGAGGCGTGACATGAGAAGTTGTTTATATGGAAAAGGAATGGAGGACTGTTTCAGGAGATGGTCGGGTGGGAGGACGGACTGGCATCAGGATGGGAATGACGAGGAGGAGGACGAGGAGGAGGAGGAGGAAGAGGAGGAGGAGGAGGAGAGGGATACGGAATAGAGGATGATGATGAGGAGGAGGAGGAGGAAGAGGAGAGGGATGACGAGAAGGAGGATGAGGAGGAGGAGAGGCGAGAGGAGAAGCGGGTGGAGTCCCAGAGTTAGGGCGAGCATTTGTTTCGAACGGCCTGGCCAATCATTTTCTTTTGTGTTATTGCTGCTCACGAACTCAAGCATGGACACGCGCGTGTCGTGGGCCCGCTGGGCAGTGCGAGTGTTCGGTCGTGTGCCCGAGCATCTGGGGGCGATTTTGGGGTCATTTCGGGTGCCCGCTGGGAACTCTTGGGGTCATCTGGTTGCTCTCTTGTAGCCTTGTTGGGCATCGGAGCCTGCTGCGCACACGACGAACGTCACCCCTGTGGCATGTGGCCCGAATACCTCCCGTAATCAAGCACGCTGAACATCTTTTCAACACCGTGTCCTTCCCCTCCCCTGCAACTGAGCGACGGAAAAAAACGGGGTCGTCTTTGCCGACATGCGCGTGAGATGCCCACGTAAGGTCGCGCGTCAGCGCCCTCGGCCCCACTGTAGCGTGCCGCGCTGGCGGCCTGTGTAAGCCGCGGTGTAAGGTCGCGGTGCCATCTCGCGCACGACCCGCTCTTGATCGTCGCTCGTCTCCTCGCCTTAAGGGGAAGGGGCCACGAGGGAACGAGTCCCGCCGGGGCCTTCCCAAGGACCAGCCCTTAATTCTCAGCTGTTCTGACGGCCCAATGTCAGGAGCGAAAGAAGGACGTACACGTATATGAATCCACGCTGGTTTCGAGAGTACGCATTGCCCGAAAGTTCGTATCACGCGGCCAGTCTCGCAGATCGAGGGGCCGTGTTCATGTACATAGCTGGGTGCGTACGTCCTTTGTGGGCTCCCTACAAGGGGGGCCCGTGGAAGGACCCAGGCCTCCAGGTGCCCAGAGCCCCTTCCCTCCATGACCCGTTGCCTTCCCGCTGCCCAGGCCTGCGACGTTTTCCGTTCTTCCGCGCGCGGCCCCAGGGAAGTCCCAGCCCCTCTCCGGGAACCAGCTTTTTTGCTCCAGATCGTTCTTTGACGGCCCTGCCCTTGCGGCCGAATTGACAAGACGTTGTTACGCCGCGTTGGTCGGACGACGCCAGGGGGGGGGTGTCTGGGATCAAACATCGATCCTGGACCTGTCCCGGGGCGCGTTCTGGCCAGAATTTCGGGTGTCTGGGATCAAACATCGATCCTGGACCTGTCCCAGGGCGCGTTCTGGCCAGAATTTCGAGGCGGATCCAGCCGCGTGGCGACGAGAAGCCCCCCCCTCCCCCCCCAGGGCCCCCCCCTTGGCATCGCTGGGACGTGTGCATTTTCCCTTCGGCGAGGACCATCGAGGAGCATCCTTGAACATTTGGCGAAACAACCACGCACGAACCCCCCAAAAAACACAGGGAATGGACGTCCGAGCGATGGCCAGCCCCCCCCCCCTCCCAAACGGCGCGCGAGCGCTCTCCCCATGCCCCCCGCAGCTTTTTGGCTCAAGAAGCAAGGCAACTCCCCCAGCGAACCTGCCCCGTGCCCCTCGCGCCTCCCCCGCCACCAGCCCTGCCGCCTTCGGACCACCCAACGCCCGTCCGCTCCCCTGGGCCTCCTGGCCTTGCACCTCCACCGACAAAGCTCAAATCCCCATCGAGGGATACTCGACCCTGCCAGTCACCCAGTCACCAGCCTGCTCCCGAGGCGGAGATGGGAAAGACGACGAAGTCTGAGACGGCGCAAGTCTCGGACGGCGAGAAGACGACCAGCGTCCCCAAGCACGCGCCCCTGAAGTTCTCCCTGAAGTTCCTCACGCCCCATCCGCTCGCGGGAGCCATCGTGGGCCCTGGAGGGACCAAGATCGCTGCGCTGCGCGAAGGGAACACCGCCAGAGTGCAGCTGTCAAACCGTAAGGAGACGTACCCCGGCAACGACCGCCGCCAGCTCACCCTCTCGTGCGAAACCGAGGAGGCGCTCCTCGACCTCGCCACACAGATCCTGAAGATCCAGCTGAAGATGATCTCCCCAGAGGAGCTTCGGAAGAGCAAGGATGACCAATGGCCCTCCAGAGAGTCTATCGGCAAAGACGACATGCTCAAGATCTGCCTCCTGGTCCCCCGCGCGGCCGGTGGCGGCATCATCGGCAAGGGAGGCGCCACCATCAAGCAGCTGCGCGAGTCCAGCGGAGTGAAGAGGATGGACGTCAGCGATGGCGAGTACAGAAGCGAGGGCCCTGCTTCCGACCAGCTGGTCAGCATCACGGGCTCGCTGAAGGCTTGCCAGACCGTGATCAAGGAGGTGAGCAAGCAGGTCCAGGCACTCAGCGGAGAGGCCTGGTTCGGCGTCTGGCTAGCGCGGACTCCGGCTGCGACCAGCGGCTGGGAGGCCAGCGGTTCCGATGCCGACTGGGGCTGGAACGACTGGAACGGCAGCTGGGACTGGAACAGCAGCTGGGACTGGAACAGCAGCTGGAGCGACGGCTGGGGCCACAGCAGCCGTGGCCCGAGCAGCGCTGGCCCGGGCCTGAGCACTCTCGTGCAGGCCGCGTGGGAGACGCCCCGCTACGTCCTGGAGGACTCACGCGGCTTCGCGATGAGCTGCATTGTGCCCAGGAGTCTCACCGGCGGCCTCATTGGCCGCGGCGGCCAGAACGTCCAGAAGGTCAAGGAAAGGACCAACGCAGACATCTCCATCCGGCCGATTCCCGATGACCCCGACCACAGCAGCCTGAACATCGTTGGCCCCCTGCCCAACGCCTGCGCGGCGTACATGCTCATGATGACGCTTTACCTGGACGCCGAGGAGGCCGCCAGCTGAGGCGCCCGCGGGCACCCTTGCGTGTGGCCTTTTCCGACTCAACCAGTGCCGCTTTCCTGGGCGTCTGGCACGTGCCACATTAGGTGAGACAACGGTGCCTCGGGCCTCTGTGTATACCTCCGACAGCGAAAACATTTCAAGCAGCTCTCCCCCATGCCTCGCAGATGATCACCAACCCTCATGCGGTGTAGTGAACCAATTCGTTGATACTCCCTCACTCGCCCAGACTCACAGTTGGCACGCGCGGGGACGACTGCGGTCGAAGTCCAGCTGATTCAACCCACCGCCAGCATTGATCATTGGGGGGCATTGACAGATGAATGCGGCATGAGCGTTCGCTAATTTCTTCCGAGGCCTGTGCCACCACATCCCTATGGTAATGCCTCCTCCCCCTCCCTGCCCCACGATCGGTGACGGCGGTGGAGCGGATGGCCTGCAGCTCGCCGCGGGCCTCCCCCGATCTGCGCCAGCCTTGAGCTCCCGGGGAGGGTGGGCGCTCCCCCGCTTCCGCGCACCGCCGCCCCCCAGACATCCGACGGTACTTATATGGTGGTCGTTTTCTTATTCATTGTTTTGCCGGTCGGCGCGGGCCTTCGCACCCACCCCCTCCCCCTTCCCATGGGGTAGATCTGGGCTGTTTCTAAGAGGCGCGACGGATGACACAAACATAGGAGGTCCGCGCAGATTTCTCGGATCGGCGCTGGACCCCCCTCCCCGGCGCGCGGAGCGCGCCAGGGGCGGCGCTGGAGGCGCCGCCAGGGAGCCCCAGAGTGGATCCGAGACGTACGCGCGGACCTCCGCGTTTTTCGGTTTCTGTCATTCTTCGTTCCCCTCAGGCGCTCCTCCACCCGCTTCTGCGCGCCGCCGCCCCCGCAGACGTCCGACGTCAGGAGTTCTCCCCTGCGCGGCCTCCGCGGCCCCGACCCTTCCGCCCGGGGGGCCGGGCCTGCTGCCCTGGACTTGGCATCGCTCGGACGTGTGCATTTGTTCCTGCGGCGAGGACCATCGAGGGATCATTTGGCGAGAAAGCCACGCGCGAAACGAGAGCATCCTGGATCATCTGGCGAGAAAGCCACGCGCGGAACGAAACAAAAAACACAGGGAAGGGGCGGACGTCCGAGCGACGGCCAGTGGAGATCCGCTCTCTGGACGGCCCCCTCGGGGGCACGACGCGCGGGCCCCGGAGGCCCGCCTCGAGGAGGCAGCGCCAGCTGAGAAGGTCCTGTCGTCGGAGGTCTGCCCCCCCCCCCCTCCCCCTTCCTTCCTTCCTTCCCTTCCTTCCTTCCTTCCTTCCTTCCTTCCTTCCTTCCTTCCTCCTCCTCCTCCTCCTCTCCTTCTCCTCCTCCTCCTCCTCCTCCTCCTCCTCCTCCTCCTCCTCCTCCTCCTCCTCCTCCTCCTCCTCCTCCTCCTCCTCCTCCTCCTCCTCCTCCCTCCTCCTCCTCCTCCTCCTCCCTCCTCCTCCTCCTCCTCCTCCTCCTCCTCCTCCTCCTCCTCCTCTTCCCCCCCCCCCTCCTCCCCCTGTCAGGGGCAATTCCGTCAGGCGGGGTGCATCGAACCCCCAATCGCGCACTCGTCGCCGAACGAGGCCGGCACAGCCCAGCTCGCGCAGTAAGATGCGGTTTCGCCATCGGAGGCCTATTGCCGATCTCCCAGCGGTGAACCGCCGATCCAAGCTCGATGTTTCCCCCCCTCCTCCTCCTCCCCCTGGAGCATAGCCCCCTCCCAAACGTTGCTGGAGCATAGCCCCCCCCAAACGAGCATAGCCCCCCCCCCCTGGAGCATAGCCCTCCTCCCTGGAGCATAGCCCCCCTGGAGCATAGCCCCCCTGGAGCATAGCCCCTCCCCCAAACGTTGCTGGAGCATAGCCTCCCTGGAGCATGCCGATACCGCGGACCTCTCCCGGGGCGCCTCCTGGCCAGCACCTCGAGGCGAAGGCAACCGTGGCGGCGAGGGCCTCCTGCAGGAGGCCCCACGAGGCGAAAGCGAGGAAGGGGTAGGGGTAGGGTTCAGTTGGCACCTCTTCCTTCTCGGAGTTGCCCCCAGCTCCGTCCGGATGCATCTCCTGGGAGGTCAAATTCTGATGTTGCCCTGGTCCGCAATCCGGCTTACAATCCCGCTTCATCTGGCTCAAGGCCGCCTCATCCCGCTGAATCCGGCACGATCCCGCTGAGTCCGAGGCCCACTCGGGCGTAGCAACCCCCCCCAATGGGGCTCAATCCTCTTCGATCCTCCCGACGACGACCTCCCAGCAGCTGCCTCCTCAGCTCCGGGGCAGGGGGCCGGAGCTCCCCCCCCCCTATGCCCCTCGGGAGGCGGCCGGGGCAGACCCCCCGCCCCTCCCCCCGCAGCTCCCGCGCCGCGCTCGCGCGCACTCCACCCCGCCCTCCCCGCTGGACCTCCTTCGGGGGTGGACAGACCTCCTCCTACCCTGACACGTCGATCAAGGAATTGGCCCTTCTCGGTTCGCGAGGGGGCGTCGCGGCCGTCATTTTTGCGGGTCCAGGTCCGTCGGTTCCGGTCCCAGGCCGTTTTCACTAAGGGGAGGTCTACTAAAGGGAGGTTTGTCCACCGCCGACTCCTCCGGCCTCCCGCGGGTGCGCTTTCGTCGCAGCGTGGCAGCGCGAGTCGCTGCCGCCGCGGCAGCGCCAGTGTTCGGTCGGGCATGTCCCCCTACGGGCGGATTTTGGGCGAGAGGCAGAACTGGTCAACAGTAGCTCGAACATCGCTCCCGGACTGTTTGTGGTGAGCGCCGCCCCCGCGGCGGAGAGGTCCTCGGCGTCGTGCTGTCCATCCAGCCGCGCGAGAGCGCCGGCGGCGGCGGCAAGAGCCCGGCCCTCGGGGGGCCCTCGGTGCCGGCGGGGGCGGCGCGGGCGCGGGGGGGTCGTCGGCGATCTTCGGGCTCCAGGAGCCCCCGCTGGGCCCCTGGGGGCCGTCCGAGCACGACTCGGGGTGAAGAGCCGGTCCCGGTGGAGCGGGTCCGCGTCATGGAAGGATCATTTTGGACGCCCGAAATGGGTACGGAAAGAATGGACACAATGCCCAACAACAAGTGTTGTCCCGAACCAACAGCGGCCGCTGTTGGGCGGGCGGCCTTCTGTCTCGAATGGACACAGGCCGCGGCGGCGTGGACAGCGAGTCCTGTTCACAATGAACAAGATCCGCTGTTGGGCATTGTACCCATTCTTTCCGTGCCCGTCTCGTTCGTTCAGAGATCATGGCGTCGGAGGTCTGGGGTGGGAGGGCGGAGGAGGCGGGGACCCAGGCCTCAGCCACGCGCAGAGGGAGATCGGGGGGATGGGGGGAGGCTTCTCAGAGGCATCCCTGCTTCGTGGAGGGCGCGGGCCTTGTCTGTGGATGCAGGGCCAGCGCTCTCTAAGAAGCAGCCTCCTTCGAAGAAGCCTTACCCCCTCCCCCCACATATCCCCCTCTGCGCGCTGCCAAGGGCGGCGGGCCAGTGCTGGAGGAGGAGGAGGAGGAGGAGGAGGAGGAGGGAGGAGGAGGAGGAGAGGAGGAGAGGAGGAGGGGAGGAGGAGGAGGGAGAGGAGGAGGAGGAGGAGGAGGGGGAGGAGGAGGAGGAGGGGGAGGAGGAGGAGGAGGAGGAGAGGAGGAGGAGGAGGAGGAGGAGGAGGAGGGGAGGACGACAGACATGCTTGCGATCGCGGCGCGATCCTGTGCAGGGCCGGGGCTGCACGGACCCCGGCTGGCGCGCAGGGAGCCTGCAGGGTCCTGCGGAGCCCGGCCGACACGGGCCTGCATCGGCCCGCGGCCACCAGGTCTGCGAGAAGGGGCCGGGCCCTCCGGCCGCACGGCGGTGTGGTCACTCTGGGCGGAAGTCGGGCCTGTCCCCGTACAGGAGGGAAAAATACATACAAAGTGGCAACAAAGTTGTCTGAGGACGATGTTTCCACGAAGTGTTGGCTATTCGTGTTGGCTACTTTTGAGTATTTGTCTGACTATGTTTCATGATTCTTCCAACATCCGCCTGTAGGAGGACATGCCCGATCTAACCCCAGGGTCATGAGGAGTGGGCCCGGGACGCAACGCTGCCCCGAGATCCTTGGGGCTGGGAGACTCAGGACAGAGGGGGAAAAGAGGAGGCACCCATACCGCTACCCTTCCCTCGTTTACCTTTGTTTGGGCCTCATGGAAGGCCCTCGTCACCACCGCTGGATTCGCCTCGACATCCTGGTCAGAACGCACCCCGAGACAGGAGTAATGGTATCGGTACCTTGTGGTTTCCCAAATCGGAACGGAGGAGGACGGAGGAGGAGGACGAGGACGAGGAGGAGGGGGAGGACCAGTGTAAACTCAAGGCGCATCAACGATGTTGCAATACATCTTCCCTCCAGGTGCCGTCTTCATAAGTGTCTGCAGGAATCTCTTTTCATTGCGGGGAGTGCCCCGTTGGAAGACAACCCTCTGAGAATCCTCAATCGCACCAAAACACGAGTCCAGGGATATCAACGCCGCGAATCAACCTGACTGCTGCGTCCCACTCCTAAATCGTGCCAGGGCACCATTCCTGGCACGTCAGTCATACGAATCCTTAGAACTGCTGCAAGCTTTTAAGACGAAGGTAAGTGGCCAAAGGCGAGAGTCACCTTTTGAAAGCGGGCCGCCGTCGGTGCTTGAAGCTGTTGCACACTTTTAAGACGAATGTGCGCGGCGTTGTGGCGAGAACGACATTGCAGAAGTCGGCCGCCCTCCATCCTTTTTTTTTTTTTTGAATTCAAAGCTTCAGGATCAGAGTTGGTGAGGACGTCTCATGCGAAACGCCCGGCACGCCCCAGCGACACGTGTGGGGGAGGAGTGTATTCGACGCGTGCAAGTGGGGGGGGGATGAGGTGTGTGTCAAGTAGAGAGAACTTGAAGCCATCAATTCCACTGCTCGTGCAAACACCGTGCGCTTCCACGTCGTCATTTTTTTATCCACTGTTTTGCCGATCGGCGCGGGCCCTCGCACGCCCCCCTCCCCCCCCCCCCATGGAGTAGATCTTGGCTGTCTTCAGCGCCTGCTTCGAGCAGGGGGGGTCCCTCCCCCACAGGACGCACGGTTCCAAACTGTCGCACAAAGCAGAGCTCCAGAGCCAGACCCCCTCCCCATCCCCCCCCCCTTCCGCCCAATGTCGAAACTCCGAGTAAAAACACTTTCACCACCCACACCGTGTTGGGAAATTTCATCAGGTCATGATCTCAACCAGCTCACGGGCGCCTGAAACTCACCGCGCATACAAGTCCGTCCTGCAGGTCGCGGAAAGGTGCTGGCGATGGTGATGACCGCGACCCCAATGACCGTGGTGATGACACTGGTGATGACGTGGATGCCGATGGTGATGACAGTGTTGATGGACGATACGATGTTGACGACGATGACGATGGTGGTGATGATAAGGATAAGGACTTGTGATGATAAGGACTTGTGATGATAAGGACGACGATGTGAAGCTGCTTGTGATGATAAGGACTTTGGCATTGAATACTCTGGCGATGATGGTGACGACGGTGCTGGCTACAGTCAAGACGCTGAAATAAGGAACAGTTTGGGTTCGGAAGGGGCTTGATGTTCCTTAGGTTCCTCCAGTGCTGTTCCTCTTGCCCTCCTGGCGCACGGAGGCGCTTACAGGGCCAAGAAAGGGCTTTGTTCCTTATTTAGCGTTCCTTCTTTCAGCAGCCCGACTGTATGATGATGAGGTCGTGCTCGAGTGCAGAACGCTGACGAGGGCGACTACAGCGATGATCACGGTAACGGTGATGATGACGACGATGGTGATGTTACTGATGATGTTGTTGTTGTTGCCGTTCTTGTTGGTGTTGTTCTTGGTGGTGTTGTTGATGCCATTACTGATGTTGTTGTTGTCGTTGTTGTTGTTGTTGTTGTTGTTGTTGTTGTTGTTGTTGTTGTTGTTGTTGTTGGTGTTGTTGTTGTTGTTGTTGTTGTTGTTGTTGTTGTTTGTGGTGTTGGTGTTGGTGTTGGTGTTGGTGTTGGTGTTGTTGGTGTTAGTGCTGTAGTTGTGGTTGTTGTTGTTGTTCGTAGTTTTTGTTGTCGTCGTTGTTGTTATTGTTGAGGATCATAGCAATGGTACTTGTAACGCTGACGATGATCGCGAATGTGTTGATGAGGGCGGTTAGGAAGTGCGCGCCCGCAGAACTTCAGAACATCAGACATATTGTTATTGAGAACAATTTCGGTCCGACGCAGCATCTATACACCACCACCGTGTCAGGCCAGGGCCATCCTGGGCCCCACGATGGTGTATAGACCCTCTTGGCCTCGGCCAGGACGGCGTATACACCATGCCAGGGCCAGGATAGTTCTGGTCCAGCACGGTGGTGGTGTATAAATGCATTCTGCGTACAGTAGATTCGCGTCATGTCGACCAGTGTCGACCCCGCTTCCGGCGTTCAACGTTGAACGCCGCTGGCGACCCAGAATCGGTCGATGTTGAACGATCCTGACGTTTCGGGAAGAGCCGATCGTTCAAGGTTGAACGATCCCCGCGATTTGGGGAACCAACGCCAGGGTCGGCACGACACGACCCTGACGTATTTGGCTTCGTGTTAGTTGAACATATTTTTGTTCACATTGTGAGAACACCAAAATGGTTTTGAACGGACCTCGGATCGTGAGCGTGCGGAGATGCGCGCGTGGGGCCCCTCATGCTATGGTTTGACTGTTGGCGTCTGCGAGATTGTGCTTTCAACGCTTTCGCCATACGCGCCCGAGTGGCCCGCGTCAAATTATGATTTTGCCCTGGTCCGCAATCCGGCTTAATCCGGCTTAATTCTGGGCTTAACCCCACTTAATCCCAGTTGATCCGGCTTAATCTCGCTTAATCCGAGGCCCACTCCGGCGTAACAGCCCCCCAATGGGGCTTTATCCCCCTTAATCCTTCCGACGAAGACCTCCCAGTAGTTGCCTCCTAACAGTCGAGGCTGATTAGTAGGTCGACCCTGCCAAATCAAGAGAAGAGTACGTTCGTGTTCTGTGTTCGTGACCCATGCCTTCTACATTCCTATGGCAATGTGACCCTCGGAAGGGTCTCGTGTCCTCTTGCGTGTCCTCTCCAGTCCGCCCCGACCGCAACAGGACGGCTGAGCTCGCGCGCGCAGACCTCTCTTGCGTGTTTTTCGGAAGAACTCATGATTCTCACAGCTTCTGAACCGCAATGTCTGGACAGGGCTGGACCTAAACGCTGCTTTGCTGGACTTCGGCTGTGTTTTGTTGTTCGTTTTGGCAGGGAGGTACAGGACAACAGGTAGAGCAACACGAGAAACAGCACGAGACCAAAACGAAAAACAACGTTTAGGCCCAGCCCTACAGCAATGTTTGGATTTTAGTCCGAAGGTTCGTGGTTTGGGATAGTCTGGCATGCCCGTGCGGCGGCGTGCGCATGTGCCCCGCATCGCACTTCTTTGTGCACGAGGCTCCTGGACAGACACACCTCTCGCAGTGGAGGCCCATGCCAAGAAGCCCTGCTTGCCTCCAGGGTGCCCTGGGTCTCTTGGGTTTCGATGGTTTTCCCGTGGGGAGCGCGACGTTCCCACACCAGAACTCGACGGACCTCCTGGGGTCTCAGGGTTGGGTTTCTTGAGGAAGTTTTCTTGTGGTCGAGCCCCTGCTGTATTGAACAAGCTAGGACATCGCATCTCCGGGGTTTCCCGCCCCCGCCCCGTCTCGCCGAGAGCCACGCAGCAACGCTCGCTCCTGGCGAGGAATTCCCTTGGGAGGCGTGACGCTCCCACACCAAGAATCGTTGGACGTTCTGGGGTCTCAGGGTTGGGTTTCTTGTGGAAGGTTCCTTGTGGACTGGCCTCCGCTGTACATCAGTGCATTCGCACCCCTTGGGAAGGTCTCTTGCCGTATTTGGAATGAACCGTCGCTACAAGCCCCAGAGGGGACGGCGAAGTCCGGCCTCGGGAGGGTGGGGGGAGTCCGTCCTTCTTCGTACAGTGCCGTTTTTAATACATGCTCCGCGTGCGGATCATGTATAAAACATGCAGGGATTTAGTAGTAAAAACAACGATGAGTTCATGCATACATTCATTCATACATTAACCATGTATTTAAAATCCGATATTGTAAACATTGCCATGTATTAAACATTGCCCTGCAGGAGGGAGAACAGATACAGTGAAGACGTTGCACTAAGGACCCATCTGGGATCAGGAGGGGCTCGGGTGTCTGGGCCGTTCTTCGGACTTCTGCCGTGGAGCCTGCCTGTGATCTGCGCGCCGTGGCCACAAGAGTCCCGCCGTGCCTTCCGATGCGCTCCCTCTGGTAGCACGATGGCTGTATCGTGGCCGCGGCCATGCAGTGGGGGCCCATGCCAAGAAACACCCTGCTCGCCTCCAGGGTGCCCTGGGCTGCGTGGTCTTCGATGGCTCTGCTGTGGCAGGCGCGACGTTCCCACACCAGAGATCCATGGACGTCCCGGGGTCTCAGGGTTGGGCTTGTTGTGGAAGCCTTCTTGTGGCCGGGCCTCCACTGTGAAACCTCTCAGATGTCAGGGCCCCTCGCCGAAAAAAGCGCTCCCAGGGCCCCCCCTCGCCCGCGCACGTGCCTCGGGCCACGATGCGCTGGCCCCCCCTCCTCCCGGCCCCCCTCCTCTGGGCCGCGCGCCCAGGGGGAAGGCGAACCCTGACCTTCCAGGAGGGCTGCAAAATAGCACCAGAACGTCGACGTCCTAATTCCTGTCGAGGTTTGAGGCAGTCCAGATAGATCTATGGGTCTGGAGTGCTATTTTTCAGCACTCTGGAAGGTCAGGGAAGGGGCGGGCCCTCTCAGTGGGCTCAGCAGGCGCCTGGCCTTCCGTCGACTACACGAAGGAGTGACCCTCCGCCGGAGCGACCTCTGTCGCGGGCCTGCCGGGGTCCCCCCGACGGCTGAGCGCGGTGCGACAGCCGCTGCCTGCGCGCCTGGATTCGGCCACCTTGTGCCCCCTTTGGCCCGCGCACCGGAGGCCACTCCTGCCTGGGGCCACTCTCGCGTGCAGCCGGTTCCGAGACGCTCTCCGAGCCTGCTCCGAGGAGTGCCCTCTCGGAAGGCCCGGAGGGCTTCTCAGAAGCCCCGCCGCCGTCTGCGGAAGCTTGCCCCTCCTGTCTCCCCCCTCGGTTTTCGGGCCACAGCCCCGGGGGTCTCCGGCGGCCGTTCGGGACGATCGGGGCACCCCCGGAACGCCATCGGCGAGGCTCTGCCGACGGAACGCGTCCCGAGGCTGGAAAACCGCCTACACTGGAGACCCATGCCAAGAAACACCCTGCTTGCCTCGACGAGGGCACCCTGGGATTCTTGGGTTTCGGTGGCCTTGCCATGGGAAGCGTAACGTTCCCACACCAAAAATCCGTGGAGGCCCTGGGGTCTCAGGACTGGGTTTCTTGTGGAAGGTTTCTTGTGGTCGGGCCCCTACTGTACAATCGGCGAGAGCGCCTGAAAGCCGCCACTCGAATCCGGAACACCCAAACTTTCAGGGCCACATGCCAGAAGTCATTCCGGGCACCCAGAGCTGTGCCGAAACGGTGTCGAACGAGTATCGCCCCCCAGGGCCCGATACCGACACGTGATAACCCTCATATATTCAGAGCGTGAATTACCTACCCCGCTTTCGCTTCCAGGCAAAACCAAGTCATACCACGCGCCTCCTCGTCAAGCGGCCTGACCAGTACAGGCCGTAGTTTGGCATCGTTTGGTATCTCTTGGAAGCGAGGGTGGTCAAAATCGAGGTAGGTTTGTTTTCCCCCTATATATTTCGGTGCTTCCTTGGTGCTCGAAATTCTGTCTGGTGGCCAAGGCTGGAGCAGGTTGGAACGTCGTGACCCTCGGCGTGCCGCCGGCCCTCGGCGTGCCCGAGGGGGGCGCCGAGGCCCCGAGCAGGCCACGGCGCCGGCGGCCTGGCCCGCAGCCTGCCGTCTGCGGCTCCGCCGAAGGGCACGCGCCGAAGGAGAGCAAGCACATGCACATAGACACAGGCAAAGACATCAACAGCAGCGTACACACAAGGCACAAACACAAACAGAGGCCGCTCTGCTAAAGGCATAAACAGAAACCTTCGGCGCTCCGGATCTGGAAGCCCGCGCGGAGCGCCAAAAGTTGATGTTTATGCCTTTCTTCTTCTTCTTCTTCTTCTTCTTCTAAGGCGCCACCCGAGGAGCCGATGTGTCAGGGTGACGCAAGCGGGCCCAGGATCGGGATCCTCCAATCCCTCCTCCCTCTCCTCCGCCTCCTCCCTCCTCCTCCCACGCCTCCCTCCCTGTCCCCCTCCCCCCACTCTCCCCCCTCCTCCCTCTGCCCCCACTCCTCCTTTCCGCTCTCTCTCCCTCCTCCCCCCCTCCTCTGACCATCATGGGCAACGTTAGTTGGGGATAGGCTCAGAGAGGGATACTCAGGAGGGAAAAAAAAACACAGACACAATTAATCGTCGGTCCCCCAGAAAATATGGGAAAATATGGGCAGTGGGAGGGAAGACAAAAACCCAGAAAACATGGGAAAATATGGTGCGTAATTGCATAATGTTATTTGTGTGTATTTATTTGTGTGTCCTTGGGCCCCTTGAGATACATGGACCCCCAATCGTTCATTCATTGCTGTCAAGGGCCTGACAGCCCACTCCGCCATGGAGCGTGGTGTTTCGCTTCCTGCTTGCCTCCAGGGCACCCTACGTCTCTTGGGGTCTCGGTGGGCTTGCTACGGAAAGCGTGACGTCCCCACACCAAAAGAAAAGCGGTGGACGCCCTGGGGTCTCAGGGCTGGGTTTCTTGTGGAAGGTTTCTGGTGGTCGAGCTTCTGGCGGAAGGTTTCTTGTGGAAGGCTTCTTGGGTTTCGATGGTCTGGTGTGGAAGGCGTGACGCTCCCACACCAAACCTGTCCTGGGGTCTCAGGGTCGGGCTTCTCGTGCAGGGTTTTTCTCTTGTGGTCTGGGCCTCCCCGGAGCAGCGCGCCGATCCGGGCATGCCGCTTCTGCATGCGGTCGAGCCCCTGCTGCATGTGGCGCAGATCTGTGGGTACGATGCCCAACAGCAGTTCCTGTTCATTCTGAACAGGGTTCGCTGTCCGCGCCGCCGCGGCCTGCGTCCATTCGAGACAGAAGGCCACCTGCCCAGCATCGGCCGCTGTTGGTTTGGGACAACATTTGTTGTTGGGCATTGTACCCATTCTTTCGGTACCCATTTCGGGTGTCGAAAGCAGATTTCAGGTCGATGTTTCCCCCCCCCCCCCCCCCCCCCCGAAGAGCCAGCCTCCCTCCGAACGGGGCCTCGGGAGGGAGGCCGCCGGAGCGGGGCCGGAGAGTGCACGGGGTCGGGGTCGGAAGGCCTCGCCGCATCGGCGATGCGTCGGCGAATGCGGCGCGGTGCAGTCGACCCGCGTTGTCGAGCAGTGGCGAAGCGTCCTGGCTCGGCCATGGTGCGGGCCAGACGAAAGGGGGGGATTGGGAAAGGGGGGGGGTACGAAATCTGCTGCATGCGGCTGGTTTCGGCCCCGCCGAGGGGCCCATTCCTCGGTACATGGCCGCCTCCGGCGCCGGGAGAATCAGCTACGTGAGCTGATTCTCAACCCCCCCTTTGCTATCCCCCCCTTTCGCCGGGCCCGACCTTCCCAAGGGTGCCCTTGGTTTCTTAATAAGCGTGGGGGGGTACCCCCTCGACGGGGGTCAACCTCGCCTCGTCGTCGCGCCGCGACGGGGGTCGGAGCGCCTTCGGCGCGCCGTTCGCGCGTGCGATGCCCCCCCCTACTCTTGTTCAGAAACTCGGGGTACCCCTGCATCCTTGCCACCTCGACGCCCCCCCGACGCTTATTAAGAAACTCGGGGTGCCCTTGCATCCTTGCCGCCTCGGTCCATCCTTGGCCACTTTCGTTGATCGCGCTCCGTTCCCAAAGCTTCGAAATGGGCGTCCAAGGCCCCTGCGTCCTCATCGCGCACCCTCATGATACGGGCCGACTGCATGGAACCCGATCTTTACGTCCCGGGGTCGCCCGTGCGGGGCTGGCGCACTAGCGATGCGTCGCGACCCCACGGCCCCATCTGCTCCGAGCCTATTTCTGCGGCCGCCACCGGGAGGCGGTGGGGTGTGGACACTTTCGGGCTGTGAGGGGGGAGGGCCAAGGATGGCCATGCCCACTGCCTCCTGGCTGCAAGGGTGACACAAACCACGAGGGCGAAGACAGCTCTCGTGTTAAGTCGGGCGGGTCTCTCTTCAGGGGGAATATCAAAACATGGCCCGAAAATAGTCCGGAGACGATTTGTGGAGTCTTCTTCCGCACTTTTGGATTATCTTTTTTTTTTTTTGCCGTTCTTGTTTCTCGTCCCAGCTCCGCCTGCAGGAGGACACGCCCGACCCACCTCTCGTGGTCTCCTGCCGCCCGCCGAGGCTCCGAGGAGATCGTGGCGGAGCTCGCGCAGCTGCAGGAGGGCCCGCCCGCGCGCTCCGCGCCGTGCCCGCCGCCCCTCCCGCGTCCCCCTCCCCGCGCTCTCCGGGGCCCGTGGAGCCTCCCTGCCCCGGGGCAGCGCTGGGGGGGGGGGGCTCTCTCGGGGGCGGCCAGGAGTCGGTTACAGACAGGACCCCAGGTGAGGGGACCCGGTTAGTGGTAGGGCCTCGGAGCCCCTAACTTGGCCAGAATCACTAAACCAGGTCTGCCGTAACTCGTGTTTTTTCGGGTGACGGCAGTTCCGGTTGGTGGAACGGGGCGGGGGGGGCGTCCCCCAGTGCACATCACTAAACCAAGTCCCACTAAACCCAGTTCTGCCAACGCCCGAAAGAGGGGGGTGATGACTGGGGGGGTAGATATCATGGCGGGGGCCATGAGATCTCCCTAGATTTCATGGTGCCTCCTCTTAGTTCATTGCGTTCCTGGCCCCCCCGGTTTGGCCGCGCACATGCCGCTGGTCATGATTTGCACCCCCCCCTCTTGGACACCCCCCTCTTGGCCGCTCCCGATTCTAGGCCTCCTACAGTCGAGTTTGATGAGTGGGTCGACCCTGCCCAAACAAGGGTACCCTTGTGTCCTGTGTCTCGCGGCCCGTGCCCTCTACGTTCCACGGGCAGTGTGGCCATCGGAAGAGTCTTGTGTCTTCTCGCGTGTTCTCTCCAATCCACCCCGACTGTAGATGGGGTCGGAGCAGATGAGGTCGGAGGATCGCGCCGAATCGCCGATGCATCGCCGATGCGGCTCGATGTTAGGCCCGATTTGCTTCACGTCGACGTCGCCGGTGCATCGCCGACGTCGACGATTCATCGCTGGTGCATCGCCGATGCATCGCTAATGCATCGCCGATGTATCGGCGATGCGGCGCGATCCTCCGACCCCATCTACTCCGACCCCATCTAGGAGGCCTCTAGGAATAAGCTCATCGGGGGTGTCCAAACGGGGTGGTGACATCACCGTGTGGTGAGTCGGTGGGGAATCTGGGTCACCGCACGGTGTTGTGATTTAGGTTTAAGTCGGGCGTGTCCCTCTACAGGAGGAACATTCACAAACAGTCAAAACATAGCCTGGGGAGGATTTTTACCTAACAGCTTTTGCAGATAGGTTTCTAGTGGTCTAAAAAGAGAGCATCTGGACTCCACAGGGAGGTCTGGGCGGGTGCCGGGGAGGAGAACCGGGAATCGTTTTTCGCCAACAGTCACACACTTCGTGCTCTTCGACCTCCCAGAACTCCATTCCCGGGCTACATTCTGGAGAACCGGGAACCGAGCCGGGCTCGCTTCTCGCCAACAGTCACACACTTCGTGCTCTTCGACCTCCCAGAACTCCATTCCCGGGCCACATTCTGAATGCCCGGAGCCAACTGTAGGCCACTTCGTGCTCTTCGATTTCCCAGAACTCCATTCCTGGGCCACATTTCGGATGCCCGGAGCCAACTGTAGGCCACTTCGTGCTCTTCGACTTCCCAGAACTCCATTCCCGGGCCACATTTTGGATGCCCGGAGCCAACTGTAGGCCACTTCGTGCTCTTCAAGTTCCCAGAACTCCATTCCCGGGCCACATTTTGAATGCCCGGAGCCAACTGTAGGCCACTTCGTGTTCTTCTAGTTCCCAGAACTCCGTTCCTGGGCCACATTTTGAATGCTGAGGCAGGCTGATGCTGCGGCCGAGGCAGGCTGAGGCTGAGGCAGGCTGAGGCTGAGGCCGAGGCTGAAGGCAGACTGAGGCTGAGGCTGAAGCAGACTGAGGCTGAGGCTGAGGCAGGCTGAGGCTGAGGCTGAGGCAGGCTGATGCTGAGGCAGGCTGAGGCTGAGGCTGAGGCTGATGCAGGCTGAGGCTGAGGCAGGCTGAGGCTGAGGCCGAGGCTGAAGGCAGACTGAGGCTGAGGCTGAAGCAGGCTGAGGCTGAGGCTGAGGCAGGCTGAGGCTGAGGCAGGCTGAGGCTGAGGCTGAGGCAGGCTGAGGCTGAGGCTGTGACTGCGACTGCCGTTGCCGCTGCGACTGTCATCGCGAATGCGACTACGACTGCGAGAACAGCAGAATTCTACAACTGGATTTTCATCTGAATCTTAAGGGGAATGCTTTCAGATATGCTTCTACACATCGCTGTTAGGTTGCTTTGCTGGGATAATTCTATTATTTTTGACCATTTGGGGATATATTTTGTCTATATTTAATTCTTCGCCCATACTCCGCCTGTAGGAGGACATGCCCGACCTAAGGATAGGCTCATCAAGTGCCCCCAAGCGGGGTGGTGTGACCACACCGTGTGGTGAGTCGGTGGGGATTCGGGGTCACCGCACGGTTTTGGGACTGAGGTCGTTCTTCGAGGACGTCTCGTAGTGGGCGCTGTGGTGTGCCGGGGGCCGTGCAGCGGTTATGACTGTCCGCATGTCCGCCCCTCAGGTGAATCATGGTGCCGGGGGCCGTGCAGCGGTTATGACTGTCCACATGTCCGCCCCTCAGGTGAATCACCCTGTCCGTTCCCATCTCAGCCATCATCAGAACAAGCTGTCGCTTCCCTTCCACGCTGCTTCGCCAAGGCCCCCGAGCTCGTGTGCTGGGCGTGTTCGGCCTCGCGGAGGCAGGCAGGCCTCCCCCGAGGCTTGAGCCGCTGGAGGGCGCCCCCCTTCCGGCGCGGAGGCCGAGGAAGGCGCGAGCAAGGCACTGATCGCAGGCGGATCTTCTTGGCGCTCTGGGCGGATCTCTTGGATCGGCGCTGGGCCAGAGGCCAGCAACATGTGTACACGTACGCGGTTAGTTTCCCCTGGAGTGCGTGTCAACGCGGACGTTCGTGCAGGCAAGACCGCGGAGGGCGTACATGTACATATGTCGTTGCTCGCCCCCCTGCAGGGGAGGGGGGCACAGCGGGGGCCTGTGCCTGGGAGGGCGCTCCGCTGCCGCAGGAGGTGGGAGGAGGAGGACTGGACGCCCATACAGTGGAGGCCCGTGCCAGGGAACACCCTGCTGCCCTCCAGGGTGCCCCCTCTGCTTGCCTCCAGGGTGCCCTGGGTTTCTTGGGTTTCGATTGTTTTTCTAGAGAGCGCGGCGTTCCCACATTGACAATCGGTGGACGTCCCGGGGTCTCAGGGTTGGCCGGGTTTCTTGTGGAAGGTTTCTTGTGGCCGGGCATCCACTGGAAAGGGTAATAGAGAGAGAAAGAGAGAGAGAGAGAGAGAGTCCACGGGGGGCCTGTAAAAAGGGAGGTCGTCGGCCGAGGAAGGGAGGCGGAGGAGGCGGGCGAGGAGGAGGAGGAGGAGGAGGAGGAGGAGGAGGAGGAGGAGGAGAGGAGGAGGGGAGGAGGAGGGGAGGAGGAGAGGAGGAGGAGGAGGAGGAGGAGTGGAGCCCGTTGAGCGTCGCAACGGAACGGGACCGTCTGCGCCGACATTGGCGCATCAGCTGCCCGCGTAAGGTCGCGCGAAAGCGATCCGCGTCTCCAATGCGGCGTGCCGCGCTGGCGGCCCGGGTCAGCCGCGGCGTCAGGTCGCTGTGTCATCTCGCGTTGTTCATTTGCCTTTGCCCCTCCCTCCTCTCGCTTGCCCCCTCCCCCCCCCCTCGCCCCCCTGCGCAGGAGTCGCGGCTTCCGGCCAGGCTGTCGGACGACCACGCGCACCCGTCGAGCTTCGCGCTCTCCGAGGCGCCGGCCCGCGCCGCGCGCGAGCGCGAGGGCTCGCCGCCCCGTCTCACGGGGAGCTCGGAGGCGATGCCAGGGGCGCATTGCCCGGGGGTCGAAGCAGAGGAGCTCGAAAGGATCAGGAGGCTAAGCGACAAGTGAGTACTGCGCACGGCCTGCACAATCACCCCGTCGTTTCTCCCGGGTGCGAGGTCTGGGGGGGTCCCGTGAGCACCTCGTTTGCCGCGCGCGCCCCTTGCCGCCTGCTCATGCGGCGGCCGCACGGGCCGACATGCTTGAGCCAGAGTGGCAGGCACAGATAGGAGGAATAGGAGCTCGAAAGTTGGGGGATGAGCGCAGTGAGACGGAGGATTGTAGGAGGAGGAGGAGGAGGAGGAGGAGGAGGAGGAGGAGGAGGAGGAGGAGGAGGAGGAGGAGGAGGAGGAGGAGATGGGGGAGGAGGAGGAGGATTGGAGGAGGAGGATTGGAGGAGGAGGATTGGAGGAGGAGGAGGAGGAGGAGGAGGAGGAGGAGGATCTGGGAGGAAAAAATGCGTGAGCATAATTTGTTGGAGTTTCGTGCGGATTCCTTGGATCGGTGTTGCGCCCCCCCCGGCGGCGCCTCCTTCGCCCGCCCCTGGCGCGCTCGAGGTCCAGCGCCGATCCCAGAAATCTACGCGGACCTCTGACAGTTACACGCCGGTCGTTGAAAGTAGGTAGTTCTGGATTCCCAGATCCCAATCTACTTCTGCCGCCTTCCTACTTTCTACTTCAAGGACAGACTGGCTTCCGTCTCCCCTCCTCTGCAGGGGGCAGGCGGAAGCCCAATCTATTTCCAACGCCTTACCACTTCATGTTTTTACCCACTTCTTCCGACCACCGTGTAATGCTGATGCAGCTTTTTCTTCCTCAAAAGGGGGAGCAGAAAATGTACCCAGGGGTGTTGATGGTTCATGTCCTCGGCGAGGCTCCCCAGGTGGACACATGCAATGCCCGTCCCTGGGCCATTTGCCCAGATCGTCGCTTCCGAGGATCGAGGCTCTTGGGCGTTGTTCCCGACCATCTGGTGCTGGATCTTCGCTTGAAGTCCGCAGCGCCGCACCCCACACCCTCCTTCCGTCCTTCCTCTCTCCCCCTCCGTTTGACGTCGCGCTAAATCAGCAACGGAGCCTGAAGCGTCAGGATGCAAGGACAACAATGCATCAAATGCCGACTTCGGCCGATAGCAAACTACTTTAGCCTGGCGGAGCGCAGCCGAGACAGTAAGGCACATACACTTTAAAACAGTAAGAGGGCCCCAAGGGGCATAGAGTATGCGCCCACAAGTCCGCAGTGTTGAGTGGGGAATAGGGCCGTCAACAAGCCTGAGTACAAGTCTCATAACAAGGAAAACGGAGCGGGAGTAGTTGGAGTACCAAAAAATGCGTGCAAGCGCGATAAGAAGCAACGGCTGCCAGGTCGTAGAGTGCCTCTCCCACCCCAACCTACCCCACCCGACTCGCCCCAGCCCTCACGTCCAGGAGGCAGCGATGCCAGCTTACAAGATGTAAGAAAATCGATAAGATGCGGCACAGGCGCCTCGTGGAGATAACAAGACGACTAGTGGCTGTGACAATGGAGGTGAATCCCCCTCCCCCTCCGCCTCCCCCCCTCAGCGACGAGGTGTTGCATAGCCCCCCCCAGCTCATTTCGGCACGCCCCTCACGCGGTTCGTGGCCCCCATTGGGAGCTCCATCGACGGCCTCAGCGACGAGGTGTTGCATAGCACCCCCCAGCCCATTTCGGCACGCCCCTCACGCGGTTCGTGGCCCCCACGGGGAGCTCCACCGACGGCTTCGGCGACGAGGTGTTGCATAGCCCCCCGCCCAGCTCGGCACACCCCTGGCATGTCTCGTGGCCCCACGGGGAGGGGAGGAGCCCCTTCCCTCTCGCGGCGCGCTGCCCACGACACAGAGGGCGGCAGCCTCGGCCCGTCGCAGCTGCCTTGGGGTTGGGTTTCTCGCTGGGCCCGGTGCGCCCTCGCCTTCGAGGACCGAGGGGGTTCGCATCCCTTCCTCGCCAGGGTGAAGTCGGGGCTGTCCCTCTACAGGAGGAATATTCAAAAACAGTCAAATCATAGTCTGGGGACGATGCCTAGAGTTTTTTTTTTTTTTTTTTTTTTTTTTTTTTTTTTTACCATTGTGACTATTTTTTGTTTTGCCTCGAAGAGCCCCCCTGCAGGGGGACAGGCCCGACTTCACGCCAGGGCGGACGGCGGAGGGCCGGGAGGCCGCTGCAGCCAAGCGAGGGCGGCGCCTGTTGCGGCGGCGCAGAGCTCGGGGGAGGCGGGGGTCGGCGTCACCCGAGCATGCTGATGCCGAGGGCGCGTCGCCCCAGGGGCGACGCGTAAAACAGGGCTAGGATCGGGATAAATCGCTCCAGAGCGTTCCGGAGCGCTCTCAGAGCGTTCCGGAACGCTCTGAGAGCGGCCGCGGCGCCCAATACATCTTCCAAACCCGCCGATTCTCAGAGATTTCGAGTTATCCCGATCCGATTTTGTCCCCATCTTCGCGTCGTTTTAACGCGCGCACCGAGCAATCCTGCTGGGTGCGTCGTGGCGGGCGCTCGCTGGCCGCACCGCCCGGGAGAGGGTCTGCTGCAATGTAGGTGTGCCAGATGCTCGGGTCGGGCGCCCGCCTCCAGGGAGGACACACAGTACACGCAGCATGTTTCTGTGCGCCACCAGGAAGTGCAGTGGAGAGACCCATTCCAAGAGACCCCCTGCTTGCCTCCAGGGTGCCCTGGGAGTTCGTGGGCTTCGATGGTTCTGTTATGTAAAGCGTGACTATCCCGGACCAAAACCGAGTGGATGTGGTGAGGTCTCAGAGTTGGGTTTCTTGCCTCAGCGAGGAGGCCAGGGACGCGGCGAGCGAGGGACGAGCGGATCGGTGATGTAACCAGGCCATCGGGGCCTGAGGTGTCGGATTGGCTCGGCTTGGCCGACCCTTTGCCTTGCCCCTTAAGCTATGGTGGTCCTCCTCGTCTTCCTCCTTCGCCTCATCTTCTTCTTCCAGGCCTTCTATTTCTTTTCGACATCTCCTCACTGTTGTGTCCCGAGGCGCGTCGGTTCGGCGGACTGGGCGCTTCGCCTGAGACTTCCTCACAGTTTTTAATTTATTACTTGTGAAGTTACAGATCTTCACGGATGGAAGGCGGGCCGGTTTCAAAATGTGGCTCTGGCCTCAGCGCCGCTTACATTCGTCTCAAATATTTACAAAGGGCTTCGCAGATGGACGGGGTCCGTTTTCAAAATGATGCTCTCGAGGTGGCGCCGCGCATTCTCGTCATGAACATCTGCAAGAGCTTCGCGAACGGAGGGCGGGTCGTCTTCAAAGTGTGGCTCGCGGGGTAGCGCCGCGCACGCTCGTCTTGAACGTTTGCCATCGCTCCACGGATGTAGGATGGCTCCTGTTCAAAGTGTGGCTCTCGCCCTGGCGCCGCGCGCACATTCGATTCCAACAGTTGCAAGAGCTTCGCACATGGAGGGCGGTTTCTTCTCAAATGTGGTTTCTCGCCTATGTCCCGCGCGCTTTTGTTCCAAGAGTTCAAACCAGTTCAAGACTTCGCATTGTTAATGTCCCAGGACTGGTGCAGAATTGTCGTTGGAGCAACCGTCACGTTGATTCGCGGTGTTGAAGCACCAGGGATGGTGTTCAAACGCGGCCCAGGATCGTCAAGACGCAACAGTAGCGCTCGCGGCGCTAAACTCCCAATCGTTTTGTTGTGGCGCAGTTCATGAGTTTCAAATGGTTATCTTCCAACGGGGCACTTCATCAGCGAAGATGAATCGTTGCACGGGGCATGTGAAGAAGGACGTTGGAGGGAGGGTTGATTGCACTGTCGTTGATGAGTCTTGGGTTTGCACTGGTCCTCCTCCTCCTCCTCCTCCTCCTCCTCCTCCTCCTCCCCTCCTCCACTTCCTCCCCTCCCTCCTCTCCCCTCCTCTTCCTCCTCCTCCTCCTCCTCCTTC